TTAGAACCTAGTTTTATATTTAAACACATCCTTTATATAAGACAACAAGAGTCTATCCCAAGTGTACCACGGTCGTGAGGGGTGCTAATACCTTCCACTTGCGTAATCGACTCCATTACCCATTGTGATACTTGGGGAGAACTGACTTGGGTGTTTTGCATTTTATCTCAATTGTTGCGGATAGCAAGAGTCGCCACCGACTTTTCTTTTATCCAATAAGGAAAGGATGAAAAGAACAGGAAAGACCTTTGAGATATTTTCTTGAGTTCGGGGGATAGGTTATGAAAAGGGAAGGTGTTAGCACCCATTTCATCAATAGTTATCTATGGGCTCTTAGTTGCTTTGCTAGATCACTTTTGAAATTGCTTTGTTTGAAATGTGTTTGTGATGGGTTTCGAAAGTATTTTTGAAAAGTGACTTCGTTTAGGCAAACTTTGTAATGATTCTCGTCTCTATAAGAATGCATACAAAGTGTGGGATTTTTTGAAAATATTTCATGTTTTGAAAGTGTTTAGTGTGTTTGAAAAGATGTTTGTTTTTGAAGATGGATTGTAAGCAAGTAACTAAGAACATTCTACCTACTCAAAAAGTGTTTTATTCATTTCTCTCTTCTTTTTACATTGCTATCTTACCATTGATTGGTTAGAAACCCTCTCTTTGGATGTAAAGGGACGGGCGTGGGTCATTGTATAATCATAAAATTCAATGTTTTGAGATACCTTTTCATTTTTATTAAGGGTCTAAGATCATTTTGAAGGCAACATTTGAAGCATCATCGAGGGACTATGATCTTGTATTTTTTATTGTTTTTGCTAAGATGTCTGACATGCATAATATGACCATTTTTCTCGAAGCAACAAAGTGGAGTTAACTCTAGATGTGCAAAGTGTGCAAGTGTTTTGTATTACATGCTTGATTTATCTTGGATTAGGGTTTTCTAAGCGTTGATTTTATCTTTCCATACAAACCCTAATTTACTAGCATTTATATGAAAGTGGTAAATTGCGGAAAGTAAATATCCTACGCTATTACATCATTTGGGGGTGGGGTATACATATTTACAAATGGGGATTGCAAGAAATTAAATCCTAATTATCTATTACAACCATATTGAATTTGAATAAATGTACAAGAAATGAAATTAATATAATATACAAGAATAAATGGAAAAAGAAATGAATTTGTCTTGTTTTAGTCTTTGTTAAGAAAAGGTTTTGGCCTAATCAAATAAAAAGAGGTAAATTAATTAAATTAAGAAAATTTAAATCTAAATTAACTAAGAAAAGAAATTAATTTGATCAAAAAACATTTTTTATGATTTTGTAGAAAGTGGTTTTAATTACATTAGAAATAGTATACATGAAATTAATTAATTAAAAAAAACCTAAGTTCTAAATAAATAATAAGAATAAACCTAAATCTAATTATTTAATTAATTTTAAGAAAAGAAAATGAATTTAATAAGAAAACATTTTGGTCTTTTTAGTTAAAAGAAATAAATATGAGTATATTTAATATAAATAAATAAATAAAATATTTTTGAGATTTTTATTAATAAAAATAGATATTCTAATAATATTAATAATAATAACTAAAAGAAAGAAAAGAAAATGAAATAAAATAAATAAAATAAATAAAATAAATCAGGGGGGTGAAACTTGAATTTGAGGTGTTTGTTGGGAATAAGGCAGTTTTTGTAAGGATTGACCCAAATTGTTTTTTTGTAAATAGAATAAAGAAAATATAAAAAAATGTTGGGCCTGCATGGTACTATGAGCAACAAGGGGGTGCGTGTGTGAGTGAAGTGAGTTGGGCCTGGTTTGTTTGAGTTGAGGCTCAGACAGGTTATTATACAAAAAGAGGAGGGTGTAAGAATAGAATTGGGGGGGGTGCGCACTAGAAAGGGTTTGGGCCTAGAAAAAATGGGTTTAGCCCATTATCAGAAAAGTGAAATAAAAATAAAATTTTATTGTTTCATTTGTCACCAACCCTTCTTTGTTCACTTCAAAACTCTCTTCGTCCTCTCTCTGCCTTCTATGTCAAGAGGCCTGTCAGAAATCGCCCTAGCGGTGGTGGACGGCGGTCTTCACGGTAGAGACGCGTCGATCTTAAATTTTCTTACATCATTCGTTTTGTTTCTTCTTGCTGGTTTCTAATCCGTGGTCAGATTTTGCATATTCGGCGCGATATGGAGTAAATTTTAAAGGGGGTGAACGAACCCTAGGGATTCTGGTTTGGCTCTTTTCGCTTGATTCCCAATGAAATCATTCTTTTTCTTTCTCTCCGATTAAATCTCTGAAGGGTTAGACTTTGGAAAATGATGGAACAATTTTGTTAGGGTTTGTGTTTGGTATCGGTTATGTGCGTGTATATTTAGTGTGTGATTTTTAGGGGTTTTTATGGTAACTCTTTTGTTGTTTTTGTATCTGTATATGTTTTTGTAAACAATCTTGAGGGGTTTGGAAAATGGTGGTGTTGGTTGTGTGGTTTTCTGGCCTCTATGTTTGCGTGTCTGTTTTATTCGTGAAAGGTTGTCCCCCCCTTTATTGTGAACTGTGTCCTTTGAGCTGTATATTTGTGAACTATATATTTTTCTATGAATTATGTTCACCCTTTTCGGTGAACTGTGGCTCTGCTTTTATGCTGTGATTTGCACTTTGTTTTATGTATAAAGCATTGATGCTGACTTGAGGGAAGCTTGTTCTGTCACTTTAACAAATCAGCTTTTATTGTATTTGTTGCTTGTTGTACAGATTTTGGTACTTCTCTGTGATGTTATGCTGACTTTACTTGCTTGAGGTTGTACTTGTTTGTTGACCTTGCTTGCTTGAGGTTGTACTTATTTACTGACTTTGCTTGCTTTTCTGTGATGCTGTGAACAAAACGTTTGCTTTGAGATTTGTAGTACAATTGATTGGCCTGTGATTTGATTTTACAATTCTGAGTTTTCTCATTGAAAACAACATGAGGTTCTTTGTTTGCGTGAAACATGATGTTAATCCTGATTTTCCTTGATCTTTTCTTTATCTTTTTATGAACAAAAATCTTATTTTGTGATTTGCAAAAAGGAATACTTTTTAAGCCAGTGATGTATGTTCTGATTTTGTGAAATAACATGTATGAGGCTTTTTTTCCTGTTGGGCTGAAGTGAAATTTTGTTGGGCTTAAATTCTGTTTTGCACCTTCTTTCTTCTATTATGAACCAAACAAAACTTTGTGATTTGCAATAGAGTTCTTTAGGCCAATGATAGGAACTTAAATGTTTGAGGCTTTATCACACAAAAAATCATTCTTTTTATGATTCCATAAACCACTCTAATGATGAGTTTAAACCATTTTGTAATCTTGTTCATTTTGAATTGCTACTAACTCTTATCTTCTCTTTGATTTCATGTGCAAAATGGAAAATGGCAAGAAGCTTGAAGATGCTTGAAGACGCTTGAAGATGAAGACATCTTCTGCTATTTTGTAATAGAAATAGAAAAAATAGGATAGAAAAGAAGAAAAATTGTAGTATGCCTTATGTAGTTGATCTTGTAAAGATTTGTGATTTTGGACTTGTAATTAATTTTGAAATTTGAAAAATAATAACCTTTTGGAATTTGGAAATTGAAATAGTGTAATATGTTGAATAAATGTGAAATAATTCGTAAAGTTTGAAAGGAAATAAAAAAATATAATATCTTAAAAACGAATAATGTAAGTTGTGACTTTGAAATAAAAAGAAAATGTGATATAGTTTATAAAAAGAATTGTAGATGTAAAATAAAATAAAAATGTAATGTTTTGAAAAAGAAAATTAAATATGATGTGATTCATAATATTGAAAGAGGAATAAAAATGTAAAAAATATGATGTTTTGAAAAATGATTTGTAATAATAAAAAATAAAGAATAAAATGTAAGTAGGAAATGTAAATGTATATAAAATGTAATGCGTTTGAAAGAAAAATGTGGAAGAAGAAACCAAGAATTTTATCTAGTGAAATGAGAGACTTAGTATTCTTACTCTGCCCACAACAAATAATCTTGGAATCTAAGCCATAGAAACTTTGAATAAGGCTCACATTTCTTAGAACAAAACAAAGTTGTCAGATCAATGCAATGCTTCCTTAGTGAGTGTTGAATGAAAACCAGAGTTTGAATCATAACGACCCCAATTCGTCCAATCATGAATCAAAATCCTTAATTCAAGGTAAACTCAAATACAAACCTTAATATTGTGCAACCATTGAAACACTCACAATTTATATATTTTTTTTCTTTTCAAAACCCTTTCAACTTCTACGTTTTTTATCAATTACTTTTTGACTGATGATTTAATTTGAGGCCCCCCTCCCTTTTAATTTCAATTTTAATTTGTTTGTCTTTCTAAATCACATGATATTAATCTTATGGTGATTTATTTTTCTAAACCATTTTTTATTAATTATTTTAGAGGCCATTTTTTCCACATTATACATAAATCTACAGGCCACTTCACACTACATATTTCTCCATAAAAGCACATTACTAAACAACTTTGAACCGATTTTCACATTCTAACACTACTTTTTACACACTGACATCAATATTTTAAGCTACAATAAGAGAACTCAGGAAAAATCTCTCACGTGCAAAGACACCCATACTATCATAATTTACATTACTCTCATCAAACTACTTTGTTCTTTTGAAAATCATAACCTGTAAATTTCTAAAATAAACTCAAAGCATCTTGATTGTGTAGCTATTGTTTCTTCTTCTCTTGTTGTTTGTTTACAAATCAAAAAATAAAGGAGTGGATTCAAGCAACATCATCACCGCTGGAGCAAATAATCAATAACACAAAAGTTCACAGATAATTCTCACAAAACCAGAGAATAGGCAGAAGGATTGAAAAATAAGAGAAAAAGCAGCATCTCCATGAAAGCGTGAAAAACCAAAGAAGGAGCAGATCGAAGCTCCAACTCGTCACGCCTGCGATCTCCAACTCTTGACCGCCGCGCCCAGCTTTTCACGATGCCACTTCCTCGTAACGATATGCAACACTGCGTAGCGGCTCCACGAATCACACTCAACCTCAGCGTTGACACACACCTCAAATTTGTCACAATATTGACGATTCATCTTCACACGCGAAAACCGCCGCAAGTTTCACCAAACGCCGATGAAACACACTCCGACACACATTCGATTTCAACCGCACAAGCGGCCAGCCAACGCCCACTCGCCCGCCATAAGCAACCTCCGATCTCTTCTATTAAAACTCCCCGACGTACATCTTCATCTTGCCGGCCACTCCACCGTGCCGCCACTACGAATCGAGCTAGAGCACCTCCCTGCACGTGTTCCGACGGTCCCTTCACAAAGCCACTGCATCAGAATCGCAACCCTTCACTTGTACGTACAGGTCTGATTTTGAATTCTATTATGTTTGTTTTTCATGTTTTTATTTGAGGTATTGACAGAATGTTGTTGATTTTGGGATGAAAAGACTGGTTGAATCTGGTGTGATAAGAAGAAAGAGAGATTATGTGTTTCTTTGTTTTACCTTCTATTAACTTTGTTTTCTTATATGGCTTACTATTATTTTTTTATTTTTTGTCCTTTCAATGCTACGTGTCTTTTCGTTATTGGCTAGAGATTTATGTTGAAAGTTCAGAATAATAACATATGAAATGGAATGCTGTTAAGGGAAACAAGATAAATGTCTTATTTTTAATAATACAATAAATAAAACTTTTGTAAATTAAATTAATTCAATATTCTATTATAACAAGATATTAAATTAAATTAATTTAATATTTTACATCAAAATATAAAAACACATGCAACTCAATAAATACTCCATCCGCGAGTGACACGGGGTCAATATTTGGCCACGTGATGAGGAGATTATATCAGACTCCTTCACTTCAAACTTCATTAAGCCTGCAATTAACAGAGAACTATTGTTGTACTCCAAAATTTACCCTCTAATTTTTCATGCAAGATGTTATCCTAGGGTTTCTCGTACACTCAATTGGCTCAAAGGTCGATCAGACAGATTCTCTTCCTAGGCGGCAAATCAATAATTAGGGTTTGAGATTTCTCAGAGATAATTGAGTCTTCAAAATTTCAAATGTTCTTAAACACAATTTGTTGAAGTTTGTTACGAATGTTCTTAAAACATGTTTGATGGACAATGAAGTCCCGTTCGAATCAAGTGTGACATGCGAACTCCATTTGATTACCAGTTAGCCATTGGACAAGGGTTGAAGATTGAGATTTTTGTGACCATAAGTCTTTGGATTCAAGTTAATCAAGTGGAATTAAATTCTTAAACATTTATTTTGTTTTAGAAGTTTGATTGGAGTACAAAGTGTTTGTTTTGTTTGATCATTTTTTGGTGATTGCTTGAAATACAAGTTACCCAAAACAGGGTGTTTTACTCAAAGCATTCAAATAAGAATTTCAAAGTTCAAATTTGAGATTGGTACAATAATTTCATTTCACCAAATTTATTCAAAAGACATTGTGTTCATTACATTGCAAGTAAGTTGAAATTACAATTTTTGTCTTGTCTACAAATGAAATAAGCTACAAAGATTTGTTTTATTTACAAAAGGGAGAAATTTTGTTTCTTCAAAGTCTTCATCTGCTTCGTCTTCAAGCAACCCATCCAATTTTCGCTTGCTGCCCACGCCTCATGTTCATGAAACAAAGAAGAAAAGAAGATTAGCAAGCTTTTCAAATAAAAATTTATATGAGAAATCCATCATTAAGGTTTAGGTTTAGGAATCAGATACTAAAGGGGAAGCTGCATAGCAAGCTGCAGCAAGCAATAAACAAGCTGCAACAAGCAATAAACAAGCTGCAGCAAGCAGCAAACCAGCAATACTGCAAACTGTCCAAAAACCTGCAACAAATGTAGCAAACAGGGCAAGCAACAAGGCAAGCTGCAGCAAGCAGCAAACAAGGGAAAACTGCATAACAAGGCAAGCTGCAGCAAGCAGCAAACAAGGGCAAACTGCACAACAAGGCAAGTTGCAGCAAGCAACAAACAAGGGCAAATTGTATAACAAGGCAAGCTGCAGCAAGCAACAAACAAGGGCAAACTGCATAACAAGGCAAGCTACAGCAAGCAGCAAACAAAGGCAAGCTGCAGCAAGCAGCAAACAAGGGCAAACTGCATAGCAAAATAAAACTTGCAACAAATGTAGCAAACAGGGCAAACAGCAGGGCAGGCTGCAGCAAGTTGCCAGAACAAAACCTAAAGGGGAACAAAGTATCAAGAGTTCAGAAAAAGGAGGTTTTGTGTTCTAAGGCCTCAAACAATGTAAATTTTTATCATGGGACAATTGATTGCAAATCACAAGACAAAGCTTGGTTCACAATAGTGCAAGCAGGATTTCAAGTCCAACACAAGTACAAAAGTCCAATAGATTTCAGCCCAACATGGTTTAAAACAAAAAAATCCTCATACATGTTGTTCTACAAAAATAAGGATCATACATCATTGGCCTAAAGATATGATTGCAAATCACAAGACAAAGCTTGGTTCACAATATTGCAAGCAGATTTTCAAATCCAACACAGGTACAAAAGCCCAACAAGATTTTAGCCCAACATGGTTTAAAACAAAAAGCCTCATCCATGGTTGTTCCATAAAAATCAGGATCATACATCATTGGCTAGGGAAATCTTTTGCAAATCTCAAATATTTAGTTCACAAAAGATAAAGAGGAAATCAGAAAATATCAAATCAACAAGCAAAAGCCTCATGTTGCTTCAAATCAGAAATTAGTCTCAAAAGAAAAACAGTACAACAAACAATCAAAAAGCCTCAAAATTTGTAAAGTCCTGTCATGGGCCAAAATAACTTTACTGCAAATCTCAAAAGATCATGCTTTTGTTCATAGTAAAGATAAAGAGAAAGTACAGCAGGTGCAGTCCCAAAACCCAGCAAAGCCACAAAATCAATAAAGGCAACAAGCAACCATAAAGCCAGCTCTTATCACAAATAAAGGGATAGCAACAAGCAAACGTTCATACAAGCAACAAAGTACCAAAGTTCAAGAAAAGCAGTGATAGAACAATGTCCCTCAAGTCAGTATAAAAAAAAGTGAACAAAGATCACAATATAAAACCAGTACAACACAGAGAACATTTTTTCCCAGCAAAGAGAATATACAGAGATACCAAGCAAATTTATGTTCAATACAAAATAGAATCAACAAAGCCAAATTCTGTTCATATCAAAAACATGAATCAACAACCCAAAGTTCAACTCACCAGATATACAAACATGCAGATATACAACCAACACCACCATTTTCCAAACTCATCATCATCAAAAATATACACAAACAGAAACACGAAAATTGCATGCAAACAACAACAAAACCCTAAACAGTTTATCGTCATCATTTTCCGGAAAACCAAACCCTTCAGAAATAGCAAGGAGAAAGACAGAGGAAAGATCTCATCGAGGTAAAATTATTTCAGCTGAATCCAACCCTAGGGTTTCATTTTCCCTTTTTTAGATTTACGCGAAATCAAGCGAATTCTGCAAAAATCAACCACGGATTAGTGAAGAGGAGAGAAAGGAGAACTAGAAGATGTAAAAAAATCACGATCGGAGCTACGTCGCCACCGTGAGGCGATTTCCGACGCGGCGTGTCTCTCTTCTCCGATGATTGAACTTCAGAGAGAACGAGGGAGAGCATTAGGTTTAGAGAGAGAGAGAGTATTATTTTAAAAATGAAACAATATATCTTTTTTTTTTGTTATTTTTTATTTCTGTTTCTTTGTTTTAGTAAATAGGCCCAAATATCAGCAGGCCCAACTCCCTTTGCCAAGCACCAACCCCCTATTCATCACGCACCCCCCCTATTACTCAGAACAACCAGGCCCAATATTCCTTTCCTTTTATTTTTTTTTGTTTACAAAAAAACCAATTTGGGCCCAGCGCCCTTTTTATTGTTTTTAAACCCCATTTCCATTTTTCAACCCCCTGTCCAACTATTTCCATATTTTATTATTATTCATTTATATATTTATTTTACCTAAACCAAAAAACCACAAGAAATATATTTTCATTAAATTAAAAATATTTTTATTTTACTAAATTAATTTTTAACATTTCTCCTACAATATAAAAAATCATTTCTCTTACAATATAAAAATATTTTCTGTATTAACCTTAATTAAAATCATTTTCTAAACAAAGTTAAAAAAACATAGGTTTTATTTTAATTATTTTTTATGCTATTTTAGTTAATATTAAAATCTTTTCGTAAAAACACTAAAAAACATTTTTCTAAATTAAGTTAATTTATTTCTCTTCTTTTTTTTTTTAAATCATTTTCTTTTTAGTTTATTAGGTTAAGATAAAAACCTTTTCTTAACAAAACAAATAATTCATTTCTTTTTTCATTTAATACCTTATACATTATTTCTTTACATTCTTGTATATTATTTACTTCAATTTTTGTACATTATATCATTACTTGTGCATTATATTCATTCACATTTTTTGTACATTATTTATTCAAATTCAATATGGTTGTAATAGATAATTAGATTTTAATTTCTCGCAATCCCCATTTGTAATTTGTACACCCCCTCCCACAAATGTTGTAATAGCGTAGTAACTTTAAATTCCGCAATTTCTCGATTTATATACAATTGCTAGTAATTAGGGTTTGTATGGAAAAGACTAAAACTAATCAACTAGAAAACCCTAATTCAAGACAAAATCAAGCATGAAAATAATATACTTGCACACAAGCACCCCTAGGGTATATCTACTTGGTTGCCTTTACAAAAATGGCCATATTACGCATGTGAGGTATCTTAGCAAAAATAAGCAAAATACAAGATCATAGTCCCTCGATGACGCTACCTAAGTTGCCTTTCAAATGATCTCAGTCCCTAAAGAGAATGCTAAGATATCTTGCAACATTGCTAATCATGGTTATACGATGACCCACGCCCGTCCCGTTTACATCCAAAGATAGGGTTACTTACCAAATCAATGGTAAGATAACAATGTCAAAGGAAAAGAAAAATAAACAAGAAAGACTTTTCGAGTAGGTAGAATGCTCCTAATTACTTGCTCCATTTCAAAACAAACATCCTTGCTATTTCTAAAACAAACAAATACACTTTCAAACATCTTACAAAATTGAAAACATTTTCAAAAGATCAAACATCTTTGTATACATTCTTACAAACAAGAATCATTACAAAGATTGCCTAAACAATGGCCTTTTTACAAAATACTTTCAAAAACCACACAAAGCACAATTTCAAACAAAAAGCAAGTGATCTAGCAAGTAACTAAGAGCCCATGGAAAACCATAGATGAAAAGGGTGCTAATACCTTCCCTTTTCATAATCTTCCCCCGAAATCAAGAAATAATCTCAAAGGTATTTCCTGTGCTTTTTCACCTTTCCTTTTGGATAAAAGAAAAGTCGGTGACGACTCTTGTTAACCGCAACATTTGCGATCAAACGCAAAACACCCAAGTCATTTATCCCACCGTATCACAACCACCAACACCAATATGAGTTGTAA